CGAGAATGTGGCGCTGGCTTTCTCCCGCTCGGGCTCCGCGCGACAGTGCCCTGCCTCGCGGCCAAATCCTCTCCGAGACGAGCTTCTTTTAAAAATCTGTGGCCGAGGAGGCAACTGGCTGGAGACGACGAGGGGGAGGTGGAGGAGACCGCCTGCCCTGCCGTGCTCACACAGCGCGGAGCTCAGAAGATGTTCTGCAAGCCGATGGGGCTGTTGCCGCCGCCCTCCTCGACCAGCCTGCTCGCCATGCTCTCGATGGGGAAGCCGTTGACCGTCCAGGTGCCCTGCGGGCCCTTCCAGCCGTCGGGGAAGATAGGGAAGAGGGGCCCGTTGACGACCAGGTTGTGGTGCACCATGCCGCCAAAGGCCAGCATCGCCAGCCGGCCGTTGTTGAGCTCCTTCAGCTTCATGTCGTAGACCTCCTTGTCGGTCTTGCCCTTCAGGAAGCCGCTGCCGAAGTTGAAGTCCCCAGGCACCTTGTCCTCCGCGCCCTCGAACATGTCCAGCATCGTGACCTTCCCGTTGTAGGTCTGGCTCTCGATGTAGCCGGCGAGGAAGATGAGAGTGATGAGGCCGTTGGTCTCGGTGTAGACTGCGTTCAGGGCGTTCTCCGTGGGCGCCATGCCGGGGAACGTGGCGTACTGCTGGGCGGCGAAGCCGACAGTCGCCAGCATGCAGACGCGGCCGTGCTTGAGTTCCGACTCGCGCAGCCACTTCATGTCGAAGGTGTCAGAGAAGCCGAGCGGGTCGAACTCCTGCTCCTCTCCGACGTACCCGGCGAGGTTCTGGGGCTTGGGCATGAAGGGCAAGCTGCGACTGACCTCGGCGCGGGCAGCCACTGCGCTGGTCCTGCTGCGCTGCGGCGCCCTCGAGACCCCGCAGAGCGACGACTTCGTGCCCGCGACGGAGGCCGCACGGCGCGTGGAGCCCTCCGCGAAGACGTCGACGCCGAAGAAGGGCCAGGTCTTGCCGGAGAAGGCGCCCGCGGTGGCGATGCCGCCGAAGGCCAGCATGGCCAGCCGGCCGTTCCGCAGCTCCTTCAGCTGCATCTCGTACTGGCCCTTCTCGTCCTTGGGGTACCAGGTGCGGATGCCGAAGTCGCCCGGCTTGCGGTCGGTCTTGCCCTCCATCGCGTTGATGATCGCCAGGAAGCCGAAGGCCTCGAAGTAGCCTGCCCAGCAGAGCATCTGCGGCATGGAACCGAACTTGACCATGGCGTCGTGCGCATCGAGGGTCGACAAGTTTGCGAAAGGCTCGCCGGGGACGCGGAATCCCAGGTCCGTGGTGATCCAGCCGACCACGGCCAGCATCGCCACACGGCCGTGCTTCAGCTCGGCCTCGCGCAGCCAGCGGATGTCCCAGGCGAGGGACATGCCGATCGGGTCGAAGCCGTCCTCCTCGCCGACGTAGCCTTCGAGCGCCGGGGACACTGGCAGGAAGGGCACCGCCTTGCTCATCTTGTACCCGCCCTCGGCCTCCGCGCGCAGGGCCACGCGGCTGGCACCCCGGGCCAGGGCCCCGGCGGCAGGCCGCACGCTGGCGCCGAAGCCGCTGCCGGCCCTCTCCGTCGCCACGGCGCCCAGCCAGGGGAAGCCGCTGCCCGTGGCGACGGCCTGGGTGATGGCGCCGCTGAAGGCCAGCATCGCGAGGCGCCCGTTCTTGAGCTCCTTCAGCCGCATGTCGTTGGCGGCCGCCGCCTCCGTGGGGAGGAAGTTGATCCCCAGCTTGTAGTCGCCGGCGTTCTCGACGGTCACCTCGTTGCCGGTCTTGCAGAACTTCGGGTAGGTGGTCAGCATCTCGAAGAGGCCGCAGAAGGCGAAGACCTGGAAAAGGGGCCCGCCGAGCCCGTTGGCGTTCCCCGCCACGCAGGCGTCGTGGGCGGCGACCGTCGAGGAGGCCTCGTAGCAGGCGGCGACGTCTCCGGAGGCGGGGATGCGCACAAAGTCCGGCACCACCATGCCGATCCAGGCGACCATGGCCACGCGCCCGTGCTTCAGCTCGGCCTCTCGGAACCAGGGCAGGTACTGCGGGCACCTGGCAGCGATGTTGAGCGGGTCGTAGATCGGGTCCCCGCCGATCAGGAAGCGCTCGGCCTCCGACGGCGCACCGACCATGCCGGCCACCGGGTTCGCGGGGACACGCTCCGCACCGTAGGGGATCTCCGTGAGCTCCGCACGGCATGCCACCGCGGACTGCTTGCCGCCCTTGCGCGTGCGAGTCAGCGCCGCTCCGGCCACGACCGCCGCCATGGCAGCCACGGCGGTGGTGGTCGTGGAGCGCGGCTGCGGGGCAGCAGCCATGCCGCCGTCAGCTACACCGCCTTGGATGCCAGCGCCGCGCAGCGACACGTCGCCTGCAGGGGCGCCTGGCGCGAAAGCGGCGCCCTTGCTGATGCAGCCCGCGAGCGCAGCGGTCGCAGCCATCGACTTCGCCATCGGGCCCAGTTTCCCTTGAGGTCAAGTCCTCCGTGAATACACACTGTCTGAACTTCTTCAGCCAAAACGGCTAAGCATGGCAACAATGGCGATGACGGCGGTGGTAGTGATGACAAGCAGAAGGATGCTGCCATTGCTGTGGTATGCGCCACCCGATGGCGGCCCGCGAGCAGCGACAGACGGAGGTCGAACGGCTTGAAAAATATTAAGGCGTGAAGGGGCGGCAGGGAAACCACGCCACGAATTATGATTAAGTCGGGCCTGTCCCCCTACAGGGGGATTTTCGACTAAAAATAAAAAGTACCCCAAAAATGATCAAAAATAATCCAAAAATAGTCTGGGGACTATGTTTTGAATATGTTTTGACCTTCTTGGGGTATTTTGGGGGTTTCTTTTATTTTTCGTCGAGAATCCCCCTGTAGGGGGACACGCCCGACATGAAATTATGGTGTCCCCTTCTGCCCTTCGCGAAATCGTTCGAGCAACGGCAAGCTCAAGCGGGCTGTCCGCAACCTGTCCCTGGAAGAACCCGCCGACCTCGTCGGCGTGTGGAAGACGCTGCTCTGTTTGACTCAACGTCGTCGTCGTCGTCGGAGTCGTCGGAGTCGTCGTCGGAGTCTTCGCCGGAGTCGTCGTCGTCGTCGTCGGAGTCGTCCTTGTCGTCGTCGTCGCCGACGCCGTCGCCGTGGACCCGACTCCCCTCTCCTCGGGCCCGCCGCCGCTCTCCCCCGTTTCACTGCGCCCTCCTCACGCGAGCCAGCCAAAGCGAAGCCAACGCGAAATTTAGCAACGCCTTCGCTGAGTCGAAGGGAAACCTCGCCCCTTTGATCCCTCCCCCCCCGAGTGGGAGGGTTTCCTTGGGGGAGGGTTCCTGGGGGAGTCCTGGGGGGGTTCCTTGGGGGAGGTCCCTGGGTCAAAACGCCATCCTCCCCTGGGGAGTCCTGGAGCCCAACCCCAAGACAGCCCAAGAGGCCCCCAAGACGGTCCAAGAGGGCCTCGAATCGCCAAACAACCGGTCCAAGACGCCAGAGATGGCCTCCTGACAACCTAAGCAGCTGCCAAGACGCTCGAAGAGGCCTCCAAGGGCACACCAAGAGGGCCCCAACAGGCAGAATTCAATGATTTCCTATAGGTTTTTGGAAGATTACGGAATGCGGAACAGACTAAACAAGGCCTAGAGTGCGGAACAGTTGACACTGAAAACTTCATCATCCCTCATCTTGCTCGTCCTCCGCCCTCACCCTCCTCCATCGTCTCTCCGCCTCCTCCTCTTCCTCCTCCTCCTCCTCCTCCTCCTCCTCCTCCTCCTCCTCCTCCTCCTCCTCCTCCTCCTCCTCCTCCTCCTCCTCCCCGACTCCATCCTCCTCATTCTCCTCCGTATCATCAAAATCCCTGTCAGGAATACCCCTTACTCATGGGATCCAGGCCCCCACACGACACGGACAAAAGTTGGTTTGTAGACTCTTGGCTTTCCATAAGTAGGGGTACGAAAAAGGTGCGGAGGGGAAGGAGTGGGAAAAGAAGGGGAAGGAAGAAAAGGAGGAGGGGACGGAAGCAACGGGACAGGATCCGCTTCAGGGGCCTTTAAACAAAGACGTTCATGCAGGAAGCGGTGCTGGAACTGAACGGCGAAAACATGACGCGTGCCGAAGAAACCAGCGCAGTCAGAGGATACGGCTTGAAATCTGCAAACGCAGTATGGAATGCAAGCGCTCACATCACCACAAGCACGAAGAAATCAAAAGCAGCACGTGACATTTTTGCACCCGCTATCACCACGAGCAGCTCTAGCACACGTACGGTCTATCCATCTTTCCAGTCCTCCGTCAACCGTTTGTAGAGCTCCTGGCCCCGCTGATGCCCTGCGTACGTTTAGTCAGCGCCGTGGTCAAGTAAGCAGATGATGAGGGGTTGAAGAATGGTGCAAGAACAAATGAAAGTAAACTTGGACACGCCAGCAAGCCGTAAACGACATACGCAAGAACACTGAACGGCCCTGCACAACTTGAACAGTAGGTCGTGCCGTAGGTTGTGCCACAAGTTGCGTCATAGATTGCGCTAGAAACTCCGCACCACGAAATCAAGAGTTGATCCCTTCTGCCTCCCCCCCCGTGCCCCCCACATGCGCCATAATGGGTTGCGCCATCACCTTTTTCCCCATCGGGGAGGGGTTCCCCTCCCCATACCACCCCCCCGTGGGTCTGGAGCGGGCGTTCCGCGAGGGGGTGGATGGCTCAAGATGGCGCGAAGAGGGTCCCAGATAGCCCAAAACAGCATCCAAGATCGCTGAAGATAGGCCAGGAGGGTTCCAGGTAGCCCCCAACATGCCTACGAGAGCCTCCCAGATCGCTCCAAGAAGGCTCCAAATGGCCACGGAGCTTCCCAAAGAGCCCTCCGACAGGCCCAACTCCGTACAACACATAAGGAATAGTAATGTGTTCGCATTCTCACTGAATGCAGCGAGCGTGCTGACGGGGCAGCCGGCTCCGCGGCACAGAAAAAGCCCAGGAAGCGGCGACGGCGGCGGAGGCCCCTGGCTGGTCCCGCCTCCGCTACTTCCTGACGGTGCGGCCGGGAGAGATCGGAACCGTTCCCTTCCCTCCTGAGGCCCATCATCACAAAGCGGGGCGCCTGGCCCCCCCGTCCTCCGAGGAGAAAAGGGGTGGCTGGGCACAGTGCTAGTCTCGTCGTCTTCCTGATGGCACAGTGCTCTTCTCGTTGTCTTCTGATGACGCTCACGTTGGTTCTCTTCTGGCAGCCACACAACGCGCCCCCGACTGGGGGCACCAATTCAGTGCCGTCCTTCACGAAGCAGGTCCTCGCGATCTACACTTTTCGTGCTGGTCTTTTCATTGACGTACCCCGGTGGGGCAATTCAGCAACGATACATCAACAAGATCTGGATCGGTTTCGCGCTGATCGGCTTGGTGGTGGTAAAGCAACTTCTCTCAGGTGGAGGCACTCCAGAGTTAGGGTACTCCACAGACACCATATTCTTCGTGTTCGCATTCTCGCCATTTCTCTTCCGATCTGTTTGGGATGCCTCAAGTTGGCTCCAAGGCGGCCTAAGAGAGCACCACGAGGGGCCTAGGAGGGCCCAAAGACGACCCCAAGAGCGCCCAAGAGCGCCCAAGAGCGCCCAAAGAGCGCCCCAAGAGAGCTCCGAGAAACCATTCTGGGGCATCCAGGGGGGAGGGGGGGAATGGTTTACCCTCCCTTCTTTGATCGATGGCTCCCAAGATGGCCCCAAGAGGGCCCCAAAGAGGGCCCCAAGAGGGCCCCAAGAGAGCTTCAAGGCCCCACAGTGACCCCAATGTGCCTCCAAGCGGCTTCCAGAGTGCGACCGCATGCTGCGACACATCCCTGGCCAGGGAAACTCACCTGCTGATTCTGTTGGACAGGCTGTTAGGGATGTGCGAGACGCCACGAATTTAAAGGACCCTTACGGCATCCCTCTCTCGCTGTATCGGAGGTTGGGGGGTGAGATCGAAGTGGAACGGAGAGCCCCCCTACCGGGAAATCGATTTCGGTTTCGTGTTCGTGCGTGCCGTGCGGGCGAGGCGAAGCTGCGTGGGCGGGCGAGAGAAAGTCTCCTGTGGCTGAGGCGCGGCCGGACCAAATGATTCCCTTCCGGGCGGCCGGGGCCCCGCGGTGTCCCGCCGGTGTCCCGCTGGTGTCCCGTGTGGCTGAGGCGCGGCCGGACCAAATGATTCCCTTCCAGGCTCCCGCGGTGTCCCGCGGTGTCCCGCGGTGTCCCGCGGTGTCCCGCGGTGTCCCGCCGGTGTCCCGCGGTGTCCCGCGAGGATGATGATGATGATGATGAGATGCTGATGCTGATGCTGATGATGATGATGATGATGATGATGATGATGATGATGATGATGATGGTGTCCCGATGAAGATGATGATAATGTTGATGATGGTGTCGATGATGATGATAGTGTCCCGATGATGAGGATGATGATGCTCATGATGATTATGTTGATGATGACGATGATGGTGTCCCGATGATGATGATGATGATGATGATGATGATGATGAATGATGATTCCGATGATGTTGGTGATGATGATGTTGATGGAAATGGTGTCACGGCGATAAGGATGTTGATGATGACGATGCTGATGATGATTATGGTGTCCCGATCATGATGCTGATGATGATGATGGTGATGATGATGATGGTGATGCTGATGGTGTCCCGATGATAATAAGAATGATAATGACGATGTTGATGATGATGTTGCTCATGATGATGATGGTGCCACAATGATGATGATGATGTTGTTGATGATGATGTCGATGATGATGATGCGATGATCATGATGATGATGGTGTCCCGAAGATGATGACGATGTTGATGATAATGTTGATGATGGGAACGATGGTGATCATGATGATGTCCCGATTATGATGATTATGATGATGCTACTGATGATGATGACTGTGTCTCGATGATGATGATGCTGATGATGATGATGTTGATGATGAGATGATGATGGTGATGATGATGATGTTGTCCCGATGATGATGCTGACGTTGATGATGATGATGTTTATGATGATGATGATGACGGTGCCCTCATGATGATGACGATGTTGGTGATGGTGTTGATGTTGATGATGTTGACGATGATGATGATGATGACGTTGATTGCGAGAGCGATTGTGATACCGATAGCGAGATCGATATTGAGACCGAATGCGAGATCGATTGTGTGATCTATTGTGAGATCGATTGTGAGATCAATTGTGAGATCGATCGAATGAGATAGATCGAGTGAGATCGATTATGAGATCGATCGAGTGAGATCGATCGAGCGAGACCGATAGTGAGATCGATACTGAAATCGATAGTGAGACCGATCGAGTGAGACGTTGGTTCCCCCCCCCCCCACCTCCTTATCACCCGAAGGGTGGTCGTATAGGTATGTATATATCTCTCCCCCTCTTTTTCTCTCTCTCTCTCTCTCTCTCTCTCTCTCTCTCTCTCTCTCTCTCTATCATACCAGATCATTACCGCATAGGGGTGGTCGTCGCACTCGATTGGAACTCTCTCCCCCTCTTTTTCTCTCTCTCTCTCTCTCTCTCTCTCTCTCTCTCTCTCTCTCTCTCTATATATATATACATACATAAACAGATCATTACCGCATAGACCACCCTTCGGGTGATAAGGAGGTGAGGGGGGGGGAGGGACCAACGTCGCACTCGATTGATCTCACTATCGAACTCACTACCGATCTCACAATCGATCTCAATCGATAGATCTCACAATCGATCTGACTATCGAACTCCCAATCAATTTCACAATCGATCCCACAATCGATCTCACATTCGGTCTCGCGATTGATCTCACAATCGATATCACAATCGATCTCGCATTCGATCTGACTATCGATCTTACTATCAAACTCACTATCGATATCATTATTGATCTCACATTCGGTCTCACTAACGATATCACTATCGATATCACAATCGATCTCACAATCGATTTCGCATTCGGCCTCACTATCGATCTCTCTATCGAACTCACTTTCGATCTCATCATCGATCTCACTATCGATCACACTATCGATATCACAACCGAACTCACAATCGATCTCAGGTTCGGTCTCATCATCGATCTCAATATCGAAGTCACTACCGGTCTCATTACCGATAGCGATCTCACTGCTAACTCAATCGATCGATCTCACAATCGATCTGACTATCGATTTCACAACAGATTCCACAATCGATCTCACATTCGGTCTCACTATCGATCTCACCATCGATATCACAATCGATCTCACAATCGATATCCCATTCGGCCTCACAATCGATCCCACCATCGATCTCACTATCGATCTCACATTCGGTATCACAATCGATCTCACAATCGATCTCACAAGCGATCTGACATTCGATCTCACGTTCGATCTCACAATCGATATCACTACAGATATCACTATCGATCATCAAGCCAAAACATCAACATCGTCATCATCATAACCATCATCATCATCAATATCATCACCATAGTCGGGACACCGACGGGGCACCGGCGGGACACCGCGGACCCCCGGCCGGCCGGAAGGGAATCACTTCGTCCGGCCGCGCCTCAGCCACACGGGACACCAGCGGGACACCGGCGGGACACCGCGGGGCCCCGGCCGCCCGGAAGGGAATCATTTGGTCCGGCCGCGCCTCAACCACACGGGACACCAACGGGACACCGGCGGGACACCGCGGGGCCCCGGCCGCCCGGAAGAGAATCATTTGGTCCGGCCGCGCCTCAGCCACAGGAGACTTTCTTTCGCCCGCCCACGCAACTTCGCCTCGCCCGCACGGCACGCACGAACACGAAACCGAAATCGATTTCCCGGTAGGGGGGCTCTCCGTTCCACTTCGATCTCACCCCCTCACCTCCGATCTCTCTCTCTTTCTCTCTCTCTCTCTCTCTTTCTCTCTTTCTCTCTCTCTCTCTCTATCTCTCTCTTTCTCTCTCTCTCTCTCTCTCTCTCTCTCTCTCTCTCTCTCTCTCTCATATATATATATATATATATACATATATATATGTATATATATATATATATATATATATGTTGTTATATCTCTCTTTCTGGTTGGCAACACGAACAAGAAAAACAATCCAGGAACATGCACATGCACGTAACGTACGTACCCGCCAACTCTGGTCAACTCTACCGCCAACTTGCCCCCCACAGTCTTCCGCCGCAGTTCTAACTCCATCACGCGCTAGATGCGCATGCAATAACAAAATTCTGCATATCTGAACGCTGCGGTGCTCTTGGTCGGCGAACTGTCTGCAAAAACCCGACGTGTCCCTCTACCCCTGTCGCTCCTCAGTTGGCCGGTACGGGTCATCCCTATCTTGAACGTAAGGATGATCTTCTGGCGGCTCGGGTATCATGCCTCGGGAGCAGCAAATGTCAGGCTGAAGATCATACGCTCGCAAAACTGGACGGGTGAACCCAGAATTGAAATACCATGCCGATCTGCGAGGCGACTCTGGAAAGCATAAGCTCCACCGAGGACCATCGTTTGGAACCACCACGACCCCCAAAATGGCCGCCGAGTTCAGAAGGATTCGCGGCAACTTCTTATTGTTTGAAAGCATGCAGTGCTGGACGCGTAGGGCCGCCTGCAAAGCCCCCTGACAAGCATCTATTTTGAAACAAACATCACCGCGGTCATCGCCATCATCACCGCCAAGAACTCAAGAGAACAAATGTTTCAATCATCATCGCGCTGAGGGCACGTCAGCCTGCGTCGCCGCACATCGACTTTCTGCCACAGCCGAGCGCTGCGAGGTTTCAGCAGCATTCGTCGACAGCTGTCAAAAGCAAAACCGCCGAAATGGCACTCGAAAGGGCCGCCGGGGGGGCCGCCGAAAGGGCCGCCGAAATCGTCACCGAAATCGCCGCCGAAATTGCCGCCGAAATCGCCGCCGAAATCCCCGCCAGAATCGCCACCGAAATTGCCGCCGAAATTGCTGCCGAACTTACCGCCGACATTGCCGCCGAAATTGCCGCCGAAATAGCTGCGAACTCCGCCAAAATAGCCGCCGATATTCAGCCGCTCAAATCGCCGCCGAAATTCAGCCGCCGAAATTCCCACTGCCCTGTCCCAAGCGAAATCATTGTTTTGTTGAGCACGATGACGCCGCGGATACAGGCATTGAGCCACAGCCAAGGTCAAATTCGGCCTCTGTTCGGCGGCACGAACCGGAATGTCGGCGGAAATCTCGGCTGCAGTGTCGGCGGCAATTTCGGCGGCGCTTTCGGCGGCAATCTCGGCGGCAATTTCGGCGGCAATTCTGGCGGCCCGTTCGACGGCTCTTTCGGCGGCCATTTCGGCGTTTCGGTGGCCCTTTCGGCGGCGATGCTTTTGCCAACTGTCGACAATGGCTGCCGGCAGCTCTCGGCACTCGGCGGCCCCGGCAGGCCCTGGGGGGGCCCTCGAAGGGCCTCGCCAGACAGCGTCTGCGAGGTAGCTCAAGCCACGCGTGATTGGTACGCGACAGCATGCGCAACGTGCAAAGTGAATGCCTCGTATTATGCATGCGATGCTCAGCACGCTCTGAGATGTGCCTGGAAACCACCGCGCGGCAGGGCGCGCCTGCGCACTGAAACCATCACAAGAAACGCAATTTCGTTTGGAATGGATTTCGGCGCGCGCCCATTTCCGTCTCCAAAGAAAGAGCCACTACGATCTAAGCTCCCAGTACGCCAGAGCCAGTGGGAGTAGAATCGACACCAGAACAGCGAAAACCAGGACCCTCACGGAGGGACGATTTGGCCGCTTACAGTCGACCCGTATCACAAGGATGGGCGATAAGGATGCAAGGGCCTTGGAGGGCCGTTTCGAAGCACTTCGAGCGGGGCGCGGCCCATGAAAGTGGCCAAGGATGGACCGAGGAGCCAAGGATGCACGGGTACCCTTGGGAAGTTTGCCCATCCTTACTATGCTGACGACCTACCAGACCACCCCAACCCAACCCGAAGACCCGAATTTCGGGTTGGGGGGGGTATGGGCTCCATGTGTGTTTTGTTCGATGTTCCCGGACCCCCCCCACTGGAAATGGAGTGCAAATTGAGGCCTTCGGGTTGGGTTGGGGTGGTTTGGTGGGTGGTGATATGCGGGTTTTATGTGTTACCTGCTGTTTCCCTTCCGCCCCTCCCCGATGGAAGATGACGTACTACTTTTCATGGGGTCATCTTGCAATGATCTCTGGCAAATCTTCATTCAATGCGGGCTTGACGGGATCTCGACCTCCGGAGACCCGCCGACTCCCGACTGTAGAGTCGGCACCGGGACAGCGAAGACCGGGACCCTCGCGGAGGGACGGCCTGGCCGCTGGCACCCAAGTCCAAGACGCGGGCGTCGGAGGCGGGAGCCCGGGGGGACAGGGCCCTGCAGCTAGGTCGGGCGTGTCCCCCTACAGGGGGATTTTCGACGAAAAATAAAAAATATCAGAAAAATACTCCAAAATGGTTAAGAAAAATCAAAAAGTAGGCACCAAACTATTTTTGGCCTATTCTTGCATATTCCTCCTGTAGAGGGACAGGCCCGATTTAACCCTACAGTCCGCCGCCACGAAGCCCAACACCGAGGGGCAACGAAGGACGGAAGCCTTCGGGCCAGAGGCAATGGCCAGCTACCACTACAGTCGACCGTGTCATAAGGATGCGCGGTAAGGATGCAAATAGGGAGCCACATGCGAACCCTACCCCTACCCCCCACGATTTCTGAGGGGGAGGGCGGGGTTCACTTCGTTCGGGAGCTCCCGAGCGAAGTGAACCCCACACTCCCCCTCAGAAATCGTAGGGGGTAGGGGTAGAGTTCGCATGTGGCCCCCTAGCAAGACCTTGGGGGCCCAAGTTGACGTTTTTCGAACGAGGTTGGCCATCGAAAGTCGCTAAGGATGGGCCGAGGGGACAGGGATGCAAGGGTGCCCTTGGGAAGGTTGCCCATCCTCACTATGCGGGTTGACTGTAAGCCAACACACCGCGACAAACACGGCCGTCGCATGAGCGGAGCCAGCGCGCAACTGCCACAAAACCCGACACACGGAAAGAGCAAAGGCCGAGGCCACGATGGAAGGACCTGATGGCCAACTACCATTAGGTCGGGCATGTCCCCCTACAGGGGGAGTTTGGACGAAAAATAAACAATTGCCAAAAAATGCCCCAAGATGGTCAAAAAATACTCCAAAATAGTCCCCAGACTGTTGTTTGACTATTTTGGGATATTCCTCCTGTAGAGGGACACGCCCGACTTAAAACTACCACGAAACCCCAGCACACGAGGGCAAACCAGAGCCAGAGCTGGCCGTACGGGCGGGGCCCTGTGAGCCTCCCCGTGGGCGAGAGCTCAGGGGCGGTTGCCGTAGAGCCGTGAACGCAGTGGCAACCAAGGCTGGGCCTAAGCAGGCGGGGCGCAACGACCAAACACAACGAAACCCAGCGGCAGGGCAGCCATGATCGGGACCTTGCCATTGAGTACCTACAAGGCAGCTTTTTTATATATATATATAGGATTTATTGTTTTTTATAAGGTATTGAAATAATATCTTTTTATACCAAAAAAACTGATTGTTATGCATGACTAACTTATGAGTAAATTCATGCGTGAACTCATCGTTGTTTTTAGTGCTAAATCCCTGCATTTGTAATGCATGATCCACACGCGGAGCATGTACTAAAAACGGCACTGTACCAAACCACCCCAACCCCACCCGAAGACCCGAATTTCGGGTTGGGGGGGTACGGGTTCCATAAATGTTTTTGCAATGTTCCTCGACCCCCCCCCCCGCTGGAAATGGAGGGCAAATTGAGGCCTTCGGGTTGGGCTGGGGTGGTTTGGTGGGTGGTGAGCCACGGGAAGGACTCTCGGGGCAACGGTTGGAGACTCCCACGCTCGGGGCCCTGTCGGCAAGTGCCGGGGAACCCGATCGGCCGGTGCAGCTACGACCAAAGGATCCCATGTTGGCGGCGCGCCCGGGGGGGGGGAATGGCGGACGGGGCAGCAGTGCAAGAAGGCAGGAGGCTTCTTGGAAGCCCGCCCGCCTTCTAAGAGGTCCTCTGAAGCTTCGGGGAAGGCTTCTGAGAAGGCGTCGAGGCTTCCGAGAGGCCCGGCCGGCTTCTTCGAAGGCCACCGTCGTGGCCCTTCCCCCTTGGGCCGCGCCGCCAACCATCCATCTGAGCGCCCTGTGGGGAACAACAGGAGAAGCCAGCAGCTCGGGGAAAACTACTGTCCACCCGTATCATAAGGATGCGCGGCAAGCACGCAAGGGCCTCGGAGGCCCATGTGAGCGCTTTTCGAACGAGGTTGGCCAGCGAAGGTCGCTAAGAATGGGCCGAAGGGGCAAGAATGCGAAGTCAACCCTGAAAAAGCCACTCACCCTTACTATGCTCGTTGACTGTGCGGGCGCGACCCCTGGGCGGGATCCTTCGGGCAACTGCCGCAGCACCCCCAGGAGTCGGTGGGCCCCAGCGGCCAGGACCCGAGCGGCGGAGCCCCGCAGGCGGCCACTGGGGAAGCCAGTGGAAGCCAGCGGCCGAGGCGAGTACAGCCAAGAACTTCTGGGCGGGGTCCATCGGAACAACGGTCGGAGAATCCAGAGGTCTGCGCCAGCTACGGGCGGAACGCATGCCCAAACACGACGAAACCAAATTGCCGTGGATGGTTGCTAAAGGGCGAAGTAGGGGCCCGTGAGTACAAGCACTGCTGGAAGACGGTTGACCATGAAACGAGCGCATGGACCCAAATCACGAGACACCTCGCCGCTTGGGCACCATCGCCAGCCCAAACGGCGAGCGTAAATCGGGCGCAGCCCCGCACGCATTCGAATGCCCACACATCGTCCTCGTACTACTCGTCAGAGTGAGGGGGCTGAACCGAACGGTCATTCACTGTCCCTGGGTGCGTGGCTGAAGCGGAATTCCGCGATGCGGAATCTTCTTGTTGTTTGTTGTTATTTGTTGTTATTTGTTGTTGTCGTCGTCCTACCCGCGACCCGCCCCACGACCCACCCGCGACCCACCCCGCGACCCACCCGCGACCCACCCGCGACCTACCCCGCGACCCACCCGCAACCCACCCCGCGACCCACCCGCGACCCACCCGCGACCCACCCGCGACCCACCCGCGACCCACCCGCGACACACCCCGAGACGCCCCCAGCGACCCACCCGCGACCAACCCGCGACCCACCCGCGACCCACCCCGCGACCCCCGCGACCCCCGCGACCCACCCGCGACCCACCGCGACCGCGACCCGCGACCCACCCGCGACCCACCCACCCATTTTCGGCGCCTGCGGCGGGCTGCTCTTGAATCCCTTCCAGGTGGAGGTGGGGAGCCCGCGACCCACCTGCGACCCAAACTACATTCACTGAACAAGCCTTCGG